GGCAAAGATATATCCTACGAGTTATTAATAGTGTGGTTTAAGTGCACAAACCCAACATTATACAAAATCACAGCAAAGGAAATTGGAATTTGCTGTTCAAATGTACTTTATTCCTCACTTTAACCACATAAAGATTATCTTTATTAGGCTCACAAAATGCTACAACACGCGGCACACAAATTTAGGCCGGTAAATGTGCCACTCCAAGGGTTGAGTATTATTTAAAGTACAACAATAATCTGATTTATTTTTATAGTGAACCGTTGCTAGATATGCAAAGATTTTATGTATTTAGGTTGCGGTGTTTTGACGTTGTATATTTATATGCATATCTCAACAGTTGTTATTTTTTGCGTGCTACAAGTGGCAAACGTTTGGCTAAAACAATTAATTTATCCGGTTGTCTTCCTGCGGCAAAATTAGACAGCAGATGTTCCCACAGCACTGACGCCTGAGAGTGCAGATCCAGCTGACCACAATTACAGTAGTTAAAATTTGGCAAAACAAAACGCGTTAAAACATAAAAAATATGTCGAAATAGCAAAAAATATGTACCAAATACACTGGATTACATAAGCACTATGTAGTCTGTAAAGAAAACATCAGAAGCGTCGCAAAGTTTTCAAAACTTAAGGAGTGCTTTAGCCATAACATTTGTTTCAGAAAACTGTGAAGTGTACACTGCGTCATCTGGTGAACATCTGATTAAGTGGACTAAAAGCAATGCAACGAGATATATACGGAGTTCTTCCATTTAGTATGTATGAGATTTGGTTGATTAAGGGAAGCTGAAGCCTTAAGCACCATGACGTCGAAGGAGTATGTTCTGAAAATTTGCCGTCTCCGAAAGTCGGATGATGCGTAAGAAATTGAAAGATGTTTTCGGATACAATAGTAAGCATGACGTTTCGAATGTCTCGGTTAAAAGGCACCAGCGAAATTTATGAGCATGGGCTGAGGCTTTGTCTAACGGAATGTCCAAATGAAGGTTATGTTGAACTTATCCCTCTTTTATGCCCCTGGTTGAAGGTGGCATGGCCGAGAATTTCAAACGGTGTGTATTGCTTAATGGAATTCACTCAATCCCATGATCAGGCAGAGTAGATATGCCTAGAATTAACCTACTCTTTCATTAGCAAAGCCATGTTCTGCAGAAAGCGAGAATGTGGGCGTTGAGAGAGAGATAAATGAAATTTACTATTTCAGTAGTTGCCTTTAATGACTGGCCTTGTCACACTGCCAAAAAACTGAAATATTAGACAGGTCTTTGTCCTAGTCGCACTTATTTATGACTTACTATTCCACATGTTACAAAATGTCTTGAAACACGCTTCATTTAGGAACAAAACAATATATTACCCAGAAGTTGCAGAACCATTCGTAAGATGGCTTGACTTTCACAGATCTAACCAAAAACTGCCAGGTTACTAACCCAACCAAGGCTGGCGATAAAAGCATATGCCACTGAGTTAATCAGAAGTGCAGTTTAAGTTTACTGCAATGGGAATTGGAATAAGCAGCTCAAGTGTACTTTATTCCTAGCTTTTAAGCAGAGCGTCACCAACAAGTACCATGTGCATCAGGCACAAAAAAAGTTTCAGCTAGCAGTACACAACTCTAGCAGTACACTGCGCCACTCCAACGGCTCATGAATAATTAAAGTAAAACAATAAGTTGGTTCAGGTAATACTAGATCCTAGTTAGATATGCAGAGATTTAACGATCCTACTTTCCAGAGTTCTGACATTTTGCATCCATTTGCATATTTCAAAAGTTGTGATTTTTTGCCTGCTGCAAACGACAAACGTTTGGCCAAAATCTTTAATTTATCCGGTTGTTTTCTTGGGGCAAAATTAGAGGGCATATGTTTCCACAGCAATGGCGCCTGAGTAAGCAGACACAGCTGGCCGTAATTACAGCACTTAACTTTTGACAAAACAAAATGCACTAAACTATGCCAAAATAATGCACTAGGCGGACTAAACTGATGCTCTGAAACTTTGAGTTTTCCTATGTTGCATATAATTTGATTTGGTTGACTGGGAGATAGGGAAATGGGCCGATAATTGAGACCTGCTAATACGAACATAAACTGGCTGATCGGACACTAGACCAAAACTCGCAACTTGCAACCTACATTAAAGAGGCTGGCCACGACTTCGTAATTCAAAGAGCGACAATCGTAGGCCAAGAAACCGCAAAAGCTTAAAAACTGAACTTATAGTATAGCTCTCAGGTGTCAACTCCGTCAACAGGCATTTTTAACTTTCCGCGGCCTAAAACGTCCATTATACGAACAGAACAAGGCCAAACCGGACGTAATAATTGCAAGCAATTATTGTTTGCTGCTTATTATCTCTGAAGGTAGACTCGTTTAAGAGTGCGAGAACTCAGGACAATTAACTAATTGAGCCGGTGCGCGACAAGTCTTCTTCCTCATCCATGCAAATACCTAGAACAGGAAATTTTTCATTCATTCGGGAGCAGATTTCCTTTTCAGATGAAGCAAATAACATCAATAGCATGCCATTCCAAGTGTATATGGATAGTTTTGCGCCCGTACAGTTCCTATGGGTTTTCTGACAACGATTGAAGTTGCTTATTTGCCAAGATCAAACGGTTTGGCTAATTTAACAGGACACGGGTATATGAACGCCTCACCCACTTAAAACAGGTAAAATTACGATATATACAAAAAGGGAGTTAATATTTCCATATTTAAACGTTGTATTCCTTCACCTGCTTCTGTGCAGCAGGAGATATTGCCCGAGCAAATGGACGTATGAGTAAATGTGTACACGAAAACATAACAGCCTGACTTTGCAAAGAGGAGAATCGACTGGTCTCAAATTCGGTTGATAGAAACCGCCAAGTTGGCGCGAGAGCGGTCTTTCAAGTTATATACCAGACACTGACATACTTGTTTAAAGGCCCGCGCAAACGGGTGGTAGTCAGATCCGAAGCATTGGAAATCTGTGCAGTAATATCAATTCTCTGCTTGAAAAAGGCATTTTTTGAAGCAGATGACCCCCTTTGGGCACTATACTCGTGAATATTATGCTTCCTTTAGCGACGCCGTCCGCAACGACGTCCAAGGAAGACACGAAGATCACCCAAACGCACTTCGAGCGTCTTAAGTACAGACCTCAAACTGCCAACCCAACGAACATCCCAGCCCTTGTGGCACAACCCACCCAACCGCCTCAACATGCTGGTGCCAGAATGCATGACACGAGGGATTACCGAGATGACAAATTTAACTTTCCCCTATCCCGAGAACCTTATAAACGGAATACATAGCTGACCGTTTTATTCTCCAAGTCATTGTACTGACCTGAATATGCATGACAAAAACCAACTATTAGTCAATATGACTTGAACGCCATTCGTTTCTCAAATGGCAGTCAGGTTTATGCTTGAATGGGGAAGGGTGTATTAAAAGCCTTCATACGCCTTTCCAGGGGTAAATATTTGGTTATCTGATTTCCACGTTGTAACAATTAATGACCGCAATAATCTGAGCAGTTATAATCCGGAATCTGATGATATCACGGAATGCCGAGACGGACACCAATGGGCAATTCGTGTCAGGAAAGGCGCGTTAAGCGGCAGGTTTTTGTGTAAAATAATATTTTATCAAATGGCAACAGCATCACTGACAACGTTTGAGAATCAGAGTTTTAAATGAATTTCTAAACCGTGCACTAAACATAGAATACAGAAAAAAGTTTAGTGCAGAATTCAGCATTAGTAATAGGTTGGAAACGTTGCCCGCGATTCTAAGGCGCATATCTCCTGGCAAAAACCAGGGGCGGACAAGGTGCAGAATAGCACTTGGAATGTTCAGCAGACAAAACACCACGACAACAGCAATCAAGGTGATGGTGATGGCGTTCTTGTCCTGGTTTCTTGTTCGCGAAATTATAGAATTATTGTTACTGCTTTTGTGGAAGTTCGTTCGAATAATTCCATTCCTAGTAGGCCATTTTACACTCTCCTTGGTTGCTCCTTTAGAATGCTCGCTGTGTCGGCAGGATGATTCGCTGCTGGATAATGCAGCAGGATTTGCTTTGGTAGTGCCAACGCAGTCGTAGGGATATCTCATCTGCTTCATAGCCTTTGTGGGTGTCACCGTGGCGAAATTTTCTAAACTTGAGTCTGCTGGATTCGAAGTTAGCTGTGATGAAAGCCCCACATTTCGGTCCGAGGGTCGGTTGATCCACCATTTTCTCCAAGCTAGATCCCGTTGGGTCCGTGTCAGGACAATGGTCCTATCTTTCCAGTGCTTATTGGGAACAGGAATATTCCCTAGCATATTGCCTCGCTTGCGGCTAGCACTAATAACCGATCTTATAAGTAGTGAGTTAAAAATAGTCAGGATTGTTAGCGGAATGAAGACAAACAAAGCTGCTGTGGCATAAGACCACCCAATATCATGAAGGTATTTGCCAAACCAGGAAATCCCAAAGGCATAGTAGACCTCACCACAATGGAAGTCATCGGCGGATACTTTCTTGAGTGACAAACAGGAATTATTAGCTGCGAATCCACAGTGCAACCGAAAAGTCTTGAGCACGGTCCTTTCAAAAAAGTCTGGCAAACTAAAGATGGCCGTCACTATACACACAAATGCAATATTGCCACGTGTTCGGCGCAGAGAAAATGTTTTTCTGGAGCGAATGGGTGTAGATATTGCCAGAAAGCGTTCAATAGTGAATGTGCATGTCAGCCAGGCAGCCGTATTGCTCCACATGTTACCAAAAGAAAACAGAAAGGCCAGAGCATGCATGTAGGAGCTAGACTGCTCCATACTTTTGTACGTCCTAAGCGTCAGGGGTAGTCCTGTAAGGTTGTAGAGTAGATCGTAGACTGCTACCGCACAGAGATAGAGGGAGGTAGAGGAACGCATTACAGCAGTCGTAAGAACGATGATATTGAGCAGGTTGGTCGCCACGCCGACCACACAAACGATTGGCATTAATATCTGAGTGCAGATGAATCTTGCAAGCCAGAGAATCTCCTCATTCTGACAGACGATTTCAGATGTCCTGACTATTAATATGTCCGTATCATTGCTTGCTCTGCTCCCAGACATCTGATCGCAAATTGCCATAAAGAGAAAAAGAGACAGAGAAATAAGTGAGCCTTGTCTTTATGGTTTGCCGCGACATTTAATGACTAGTTGCATGTGTTCAACACAGCTTGTCATAATTGGTCTGCCGCGGGGTCATGCAGGTGCGCTGATTGGTTGATATGTGGAAGCATTGAGGGAGTTATTTTAACTGGATTATTCGGTGAACGCGAATAGGATTGCAGGCCTAGAGGCGGAACGCTTAAAGGAGGAATGTGCTCACTGGCTGGACAGGGAGGAGACAAACGTATATTGGTCAAATTTCCGTAAGTGCATAGGGTAGATGCCACCGTCATGCGTACTCTTTTGAACATAATTATAAAATTATTATGTTGTATTTAAAGGATAATTAAGAATAATACGTATGTAGTTTCCTTGGAAAGTTCAAAAACAGTTTCGTAGCCCAACTGTGGCCTTATGAAACATAAAATCAAACATTAAAATTCTCAATAACCTAAGACAACTATAGGGTATAACAGTGCAACGTTCAGTGGTATTAAATACCTTTTAGATTTCTAGGCTGAGGACAGACGAAAGCGTACAGTTTTCCCGTAATAACAGTGTGCCACGATGGTTAGCTTTTGATAGTTCAATTGGCCAGCATGCGCTTGGCGTAGATAATTTCCCTTCAGGCCTGTAAATGTATGTGGTTATCAACTAGATGACATATTCGGGTTGTTAGGAGAAAGTGGTGCGGTTAAACGTGACGGTAGGGCGGGAGATTGAGGTTAAAAAGTGTAGCGTCATTAAGGACTGACAGATGAAACAGTTGATTAACGGTAAGCGGTTGGATTGGCGATGCTTGGTCATGTTAACTTTGTCGCCGTTAAAATGTTTATTTGGGTGCAGAGGACGGGTCTGCGTAGCTTAATGGCAGCCGACTTCGCTGTAGATAACATACCCTGTCCAATGAATTTTAAATAATTCAAGGGCACATTGCAGACCACTCAAAAAAGCAGTCAGACATACAGTAGACGCCGTTTATCATGCAATACTTCGACATATGCGAGAGACTAATACGTTTTCTCTAATCGGAATTGACTCCAGTTGTGATACTGATTATCGTGCAGTCTATTCTGAAGTCATTTCAGTCACTATAGGATGCCGGCCTATTAACGATCTTCGTTCCGACTCCTAGCAAAACTAATGTACTGTAAAAACGGACAAATTAAGTTGTATGCCTTTTTAACATTTATTTCGACTGCCTTTATAAATTCAAATATATTTTACGGAAAACGTGCACAAACAAATTATTTTTGTACTTGTTTGATAGAAAATTACGCGTTCTTAAAATTTTATACTCAAAAAAGCGTAGCTTTCGGTTTTAAATTCAGTCGCTAATTATGAACTTTTCTAGGATTGTTAGGTCTTCGTCCATAATAAATCGTATCCGTCAATTAATTAGTACTGCATAAAATATATCCCAAACCTATTTCAGTATTTAATGACTACTAGGTGAAGGCTTTCTCAAACTGGAGGCGAAACCGTACATTTCATTAAACAAGATGCACACTGTGCGCAATTTTTAAACCTTGAATTCGAGTGTAGCATTCACTCGATTAGAAAATTGTTCGGCAATTGGGCAGCTTTTTTTAAAAGCAAAAGCTACCCTTTCTTTGAGTATACAATTTTAAAAAACGGGTAATTTTCTTTCAAACAGGTCCAAAAATAATTTTCTCGTGCATGTTTTCCATAATAAAGATTTGAATTTATAAAGGCAGTCAAAATCAATGACAAAAAGGCATACTATTTGAGAAGTCAGGTTCGTTATGCAAGGAGTCGGAACGAAGCTCTTTAAAAAGCCGACTTCCTATCTTGACTAAAATGACTTCAGAATACACTAAACAATAATCAGTATCACAACTTGAGTCAATTCTGATTAGCGAAATAGTATTAGTCTTTCGCATATGTCGAAATATAGTATGATCAATGGCGTCTACTGTACATTTTATGTGCGCTAAATTTGCACTTTTAGCGCCCTTTCTTTGGTCCTACCCAAGCCATGCTAGAAGACATTATCATATTCGTTTGGACAAATATCGGTTCACGCGATCAATATAATATGCCCCACAAGTGCAGGTGAATGAGGAGTGTACACAGATGTAATCTGAGCTAGCAATGTGCTCTTGATGTTTCTGTATAGAATGGGAAAATCCAAAAAAGTGCATCGTCATTGGCTGCTCGAAATATGTTTACGAAAGGTTGACTTAGGTGCCTTTCCAATTTTTTTTAACAACACGCATGGTTCATTTAGGTAATTAACCAATACACATACAGCCTTGAGTATAGTTTGTTGAAAGCATACGTATGCTCCAACATTTTCCTGTCGAATGTTAGTCAAAGGTTCGCAATATTAAGTTCGGATTTAGAAATCTTGACGAGATCCAAAGAGCCGAAAATGATACCTTGAGTCTCGCACGTGTGCCTTCGCGTTTACTCCGCTAATCTTGTAAATACATGAGGAAATAACGCGAACTACCTGTAAGGAACGCAACACCAGCTAGCGCAATAAATTATTTAAAAAAAACTTAGTGGCAATTTTTTCAGCACTCAGAAGCTAGCATTCCAAATTGAAGTCCATATCTGTGTCTTTTTCCTTCAAATTTTAATTGCAGCCGTTGTTGACGTTGTTTCTGAGAAAAATGGTTAACAGATGTTAATAATCAGCTAATTTTTTTATGCTGTACAGTAAACATTACCCAATGTGTGTGTTTTTCGTTAGCAGATCGTCCAGCTTTCAGTTCATTATATTTTTGCAACACCATTGACTTAAATATTACCACGCTTTGTGTACAAAATTATCCAAGTTCCTTAAGATCTGAAAAAGCTTTTTATAATTCTTCTTCCATTTTGCTTAAGTTGCTCTTGGCTATGGCCACTGCAAGGAACGCCTCGATAAGTATGACATTCACCAATGTTTTTGCGAAACATGCTTCTTATTTGTTGGCTTAAGACTCAATTCGGGAACATCAAACGCAATCAAAAGGCGAATATATCTGATCACAACCGAAAGGCTTACTACTTATGGCTCAGTTCTATACCTGGATTTGGAAATGACAACTAATAGTCAACTAATGGCCATCGTATTCTCTCCCATCTTTGTCCTTGCCCATTCCATTTTACTGTTTTTATCATCATGGTTCTCGAAAATGCGCATATTTTAGGCTCATTTCTGTTATTACTATCCTAATGGCCGGTAGGCTATCTTCATCAATTCCGTTGAGCAAGACCCAACTATTTCACTTTATTTGCAAAATACGTTCCTATAATTTATATGTTTCGTCATTGGCCAAGCAAATTTAAGGAAGTTTATTTTCTAATTAATCCGCAGGGCGTTGTAGTGTGATACTGGGCAGTTGTGACAATTAACGACCCTCCTATCGAGGGTAATATCCCAATTGTGTGCTGATTGCTTGATGACCGGCATGCCGGGCGTGACCCGCTGAACTGTCACCACATTTTGTGGAATTGGACGTGATGATTGCTCGGCCATTTAGTTCTCCGACGCACACAAGCGGGCAACGATCCTCTGTAGGGGAATCCTTACTTGTCATAAGTGTGCATCAGCATAATAGTCGTATGCTATAAATACTGCAACTTCCTGTGCATAGATTACCCCTTTATGCTAATGTCTCAAAACTTCAGCCAGAAAGTAGATTTGTCGCAGCCATCGCCTCTTCGTCTACTCAATTACTTCCTTGGACGTGCAACCTCACTTCTATTGAAATTACTTTTGTGACTATATTAGATGCCCTATCTCATGCAATGTCAATCGGAATTCTGAAATGAGTTTTTGATTGGAACATATTAATTTCGGATGGTTGTAACAGAGACGATCGTACAGCCTAATCTAAACATAGGTTAGACACTTCAGAATATCGGCTATTTAAAGAGCTTCTTTAGGACCACCAAGAAAAAGTGTGTACTATAAAAGGCGGCTACGTAAGTAGTATGCATTGTTGTCATTAATTTTGACTGACTTTGTAGATTTAAATATTTTTTTTAAAACATGCACAAAATAATTTTTTTATGTACTCATTTGGCAGAAAATCACGCCCTGTTTAAATTGTATTCTTAAAGAAAGACTATATTTCGGCTTGAAAAAGAAGTTTCTTAATTGCCGAATAATTTGGAAACTTAAAGAATACTGCATTGCGCTGTGCACATCATGTTTAAGGATAGAACGTTTTCGCCTACAGCTTGATAAAAAATCTCACATTGTTTTGCAATAGATATGGAGCATGTTTTATATAGAAAAGGCAGCATTAAGAAACTGACGGATACGATGTTCTATGAATGAACACCTGCAAATTAAAAAAAAAAACACGTAATAAGAAAAATGTTTGGAAGCGTAAGAAACCCTTCCTGTAAGTATAAAATTTAAGGAAGGCGTAATTTGCTACCAAACGTGCACAAAAAGTATTATTTTCGTGCATGTTTACCAAGAAAATATATTAATGAAGGCAGTCTAAATAAATGATAAAAAGGCGTAATAGTTAAGTAGCTAGTTTTTGTAGTACATACTTTTAATAAGCGGTCAGAAAGATGCTCATTAAAAAGCCGGCATCTTGACGTGACCTAAATATTTTGAGATGAAACTGTACGGTTTTCACATTTAAAACGATACGTAATTGGTATATTTCAATCAAAAACGCATTTCAGAACTCCGGGTGACATTTCATGAGATAGGGAATCCACTGTATGGCGGTGGCAGCGAATAGGAGGTACTTATGCTTTCAAATGTCTGCAATTTTTTCTTTTATAGTATATTGTCTAAACAAATGGAAATATGATCAATGGCCGCGAGTCGGTCAATCGAGCAGCAAGATACTCAACGGAATCTCATCTGATTGTCAGCCATCCGGATCGGCTAAAGTTAACTTACTACCAATTACAGTAGCCGCCGAAGACTATGTAACGCTAATTATGAAATTTGCGTGGACAATTTCACATATTAAAAAACA